AAAATATCACTTTTTACCAAAAATGACAAAAATATTCACCAAAATTAGAGAATTGAAGATATCATCACAAAATGAACAAATCTGAGGGAGGTCCACATGTACCGGTTAGTACCTATAATGTAATATCAAAGCAATTGGACTTGCGGTTTTTAACAAGAAGTCGAAAATATCACTTTTTACCAAAAATGACAAAAATATTCACCAAAATTAGAGAATTAAAGATATCATTACAAAATGAACAAATCTGAGAGAGGTCCACATGTAGTACCTATATATGTAATATCAAAGCAATAGGACTTGCGGTTTTTAACAAGAAGTCGAAAATGTCACTTTTTACCAAAAATGACAAAAATATTCACCAAATTTAGAGAATTAAAGATATCAACATGAAATGAACAAACCTAAGAGAGGTCTACCTGAGGTACATATACACCAAGTATCAAAGCATTCAGGCTAGTAGTTTTCAAGAAGGAGTCGTAAAAGTAAAACATTGATTTGGACGACGGACAATCACTCATATGATAAGCTCCGCTCGACAAAGTCGACAGCGGAGCTAAAAATACAAGGAGATGTACCGAACGATTATCAGAATTGAACAATTTTGAGAACCATAGTGGCCGCCAGTGCACATAGAAGTCATCATTTATGTACTTTGACAAAAACTGAGACTTAAGTTATCATAAAATGGTTATTCTAATAGAGTATTAGAACGTAGAATATTCAGAATGAATAAATATGGTAATGCAGTTATTAATTATGATTAATAAAAACTTACTGAATGTTCTAATGATGCTAATGTAATGAATCTAAGGAAGAGTTCACATCCTGAAGAGACAGATGTCACCATTGTACAGTCAGTATGTGTCAGTCTTTCAATACACTCCTTTAACATGGCTCTTAAACCAGCTAACGTCTCAGCTTTAAAACAAGAAACAACAATGTGTTACAGCATGGAATCTTGGAAATATTCAAAGGTCTCAATTTGGCAATTGTGGAAAATATTTTAAGTGTTTTCAGCTGTTCAAACACTGTCAAACATATCGCAGCCCCTTGACGGTTTTGATCCAATTAACACACATGAATTCACAAATTGATACAAGGCAGAATTGGTGGAGAATCAGTAATTTTTTCCCCTGATGCATCATATCATCAAATATGGCACTATAATAATCCCAAGATCTGAATAAAGCTCCATGAATGACCTCAGAGTGCAACTTTAAAAAAAACCTGTATGACTTTCTATCGCTGCATTCTAGCAAGAATCTTTCATTTTATTTCTTCTTCATGGGAAATTCTGATCAGATTCTAGCAAAGATATGTTTACCTTCTCACAATATTATTGATTGCACAATATAAAAGTATTCACAGTATATTCAAAGTAAATTACCTGTATTGAGTTTCATATATTCTATCAGTGTGTGTATAGCCGCCACTGCTGATGACATGTCAGGATCTTCTGCCATACATTTTGTAAAAAAAGTGGTTACTTCTGAAATTTAAAAAATTACATTTTTCTGAGTGTGTGTTTGGTATGTAAGAGGTAGACATTTTAAAAACTTTGGGTGAAAATCTTGATATGAAGATGAATAAAAATAATAGTACATCCTTCATACATGTACTAAAAAATAAAATTGTATTTTATAAACCTTCCGCCAGATTTTAAATAGTCCACCCAAAATGTACTTCAAAACCATTGAATATGCGACAGACAATTTTTATTGAATATGAGATATACAATATTAGACAATACTGGTATTGTCTAATATCAATGTTATGCTATCATTAAATTGGGGGATCAGATAAAAATAGTTATTGTAACCACAAGAAGATGATTTTAAGTGGAATTTAATCAACATCTTGAAAAATATACAAAAAACACAAACCAAAATTGGACAAGATTGAAAGAAACTGGATAAAAACTGTTTACAGCAAGTCTCAGAAGTATTGGGGCAGCCAATTTGCAAACTCAGTAGCGAATTGGCTAACTGCTTAGGTTTTGACTAAACGGTTGGCTTTCGAATCTCGCTGGCGCCGGCTTGTGACCGCGTCCACTCTTGGCGAGTCTATAATGCATTAGGGGACATAGAATGTTTTTACGCAGCCTGGTACATGTCTGGATTCCCCTGAATGATTTGAGCCCAAAACTGGTCACAGTCAGCTGGCGTACAAGTGATGATATGATAAATGCGATTAATCCACCAATATTTATTATATGAGGGTAACCATCTTGAACACTGCTTGAAACTAAATAGATAAGTTGAGAAACAGTTTCCTACAAATCAGGGAGAAAATAACAAATTTTCACACTCAAACGATCCATTGGGGTAACATTAAGCCAACCGCTGGAAATATCGACCTCATTCGTCATTTTTGTGTGGACACGAAGAGCATAGAACACTTTCCCTGGTATATTTGAAAGCGAAATCGCCATCCAACTGTAAGACCGTTGCTGAATAGCTTCTAAAATATGTTGTAAGTTATTTTAGTTTTGGTACAATTATATTGATGTTACTGGTAATATAAACTTTACCTTACCCCTTTACTAAGCTAAGCAAAAAGTATTAATAAGATAAATCAACTATTATTATATACATTATGTTTTCCGTAGACTATTAAGTACACACACACATACAGACACACTAACTGCATAGACTCCCATTGTGTGCTTTGCACATGAGAGTCTAACAGCCCGAAAATAATAAACACATACAATAAACAAAATAAAATAACAACTGTCTGTTATTAATGACTGGCCTTATGATCTATCGTTAACTTAAAGTGGTGACATATGTCTGCTAATATTATGTTAGGTGTTGAACATCGTGTAGGTTGACAGGAAAATTTGTTTAAAAAAAACATAGTCATTAGACACCAAATGGAAACAAAAAGCATGCCAGGTTTTTCACGCCCAAGAAAATGAAAATGCACATAAGATCGAGACGGCGAAAAAAATGCAAGCCCCCCCCCCCATGATTTAAAATGCTTGACCCCTTATCCTATATCGTACAAATGTACAATTTCGTCTGTCAGCAGAAATGTGATTTACGATGTAATCAATGTACCTGTTTCATCCATGATATACACTATGTTTTCCGATTAAAAAATCAAGGAAGTGTCAATATACAACCATTAAAATTAGATCATAAAACTGAGCCCACTCATACAGGCTGTCTCATACACTCATCGTCTCGAACACAGCTGATGAAATCACTCTGCAAACAAAAACGTCTGTGATTGGCCGCAGGTTAAAGTTAAACCAATAAGATTTGCTGTTACATTCGATACATTGTTTTGATGCAAGATGGCTGAAGGTAAGTCCACACGTGTTTTATCTGTCACCGTTTCTCATCAATGAATCAATAACGCCATTCTGTGTAATTTAGGAAAAAACAGATTAATTATAGAATGAATATGAAACAACAGTATGTATAAGTGGTTGTGTATATTAGACGTTTTTTTGAATTGTTGGTTTTGATCGTTATATTAAATCAATAACATGGAGCTAAAATGTCCACACGAGTTCCGAGCAGAACGTAAATTACTGGCAGTCGGCAATGTTATCGAATTTAAACCACATCCGCACAACAGAACAGTAAATTGCATCGACCTATACATTGACCTACCTCCTTGCACTGACAATGTGTCCGTGTATACGAAGGAATATAACAATGAACCATTGGAGGCGCTATTTAATTTATTAGTTACGAGGCGATTTGATACAGTGAAAGGCAGAAAATTAATATTAACAACCGGTATTATTAATTAGAACTAACGCTGATATCCTTTCTCAATTAGTCAATTTTGAAATCTAAGGCATTTTATAAACAAATTAAAGTTAAAAAACGTTATAATGTTCCCAGGTTACTGCCGTTGACTGCACATGGTTTAAAATAATATATTGTATAAAGTATATTGCTATTGTTACAGCATGTGACTTTTCAAAGTATAGGAAAAAGTCTTTTATTATCTTTTTTTTTTTGTATCGTCTTAATAACAAGAATCTTTACTTAAACATTCACAACATTTCAGAAAGCTGTGAATGTATTTTATAAGAAATATTTAAAACATTTAAATTTTTTTAGTTATGGTTGAAAACAATCACAATGCCTGTGTGGAGGGATTAATAACCAGTATAAAATTCCACAATGGTGGATGTGATTATTGACCTATGAAGACAATTTTCCTGCTACCTTAAAATTGGTGTTTTACAATTTAAATGTTCTGTTCTATTTAAAATACTTTTCTATGAATGAACAGTTTTCAATGAATTTGATGCGATCCCCATGGAAATCTGCCATGATTAACGGAAGCCACAGAGACTTATGGGTAATGAGCATTACAAAAGTATCAGCTTTGAATGTAACACAAGAGTATTCCAGAATAAGTATTTTATAAATTTCCATAAATAAATATACATGTATATATTATTTAGTTTTCTGTAAACATAGTATTTCATATGTAAATCAAATATTCATTCATTCGTTTATTTATTCATTTTATAAACAGAGGAAGAAAGTAGTTTATTGGTTGTAATTGTTGATGTAAACCCGATATGGTGGGGAAAGATGAGAATCCAAGATGAAAATGATGTGAGTTGATGATAACAATATATTCAAATATGAAAAACAACAATATGCAAATATGAAAAACAACAATATGCAAATAACCAGGGAAACATACATGTACTGTGACTATAATTTATAGTTGTGATATTTAATCTGATATATCACTGTTTATATTATACAGAAAACATCATGATATTTAGGTTAAACATCCTCATTGCAAATATTTGTCCATGAACTTCACTAGAAGTATAAAGAAATAATTCTGTTTTATTTTGGGGGAGAATTGAATATAATTAATTAATTGGGTATCAATTAGATAGAGTATTTCACCAACGTTACCACGAAATACGTCTGATGGATCCAAGAAAGGAATGTTGGTAGAATGTTGAGGATAACGAGATTGGGGTGTAAATAAACATTACCAAATATTATCAAATCACTACATGAATGGTGAACATTACAAGTCTTCCTGTGTGCAGTGCCGGATTTGAACTCAGTCTTCAGTATGCTGGACTGCTCGCTAACCAACCAACCAGGTGACTCCATTGCCTGTGAAGCAAACTAGCTGGGATACATGGGAAGACTACACATTGGACACCCTGCTGTACCAAGTGTGTAACCTTTCCAATGGAGTCAGCTGGTTGGTGCAGTGGTCAGCATATTGATTCTTCATACTGAAAGTTGTGAGTTAAATCCCACAGTTAAACATTTTTAACTAACATTTAGTACTGATCTGGTGTTATTTAGTGATATTTGTTTCATCCCATACAAAAATGTCTTCAAAAAAATCAATTTCTCAGTAAACTTGATTCTCAATACTTGTTTGGACTTTGAAGCCAGTGTAGCAGTGTGGTATGAGGTTCAAGACCAGGGTTCAAGACTTCTTGTATCCTGCTATTTAAATGTATAAATAGCTGGACTAATATTTATAATAGGCTACATGTATATGTATGGCCTGGTACAAATATTCAATTAGTTTGCTCAAACATGCAAATAGTTTTCATCTGATTTGATGTATAAATTCAACAAAAATGTGTTACTAAGCACTACAAAAATCAGGTAAAAAATGCATCTTGGTTTTGTCAGGTTTTGGAAAAATTCAATTTTAAGGTAAAATCAAAATGAAAGCATAATTGTTCATAACAATTTTAAAATTGAAAAAGTGAAAAGCTGCACATGTCCATAAGTTTGGGAAAACAGAAACTTGGGGGGGGTACCGGTATTGACGTTTTGTGATACAAATGTACCAATACCACCAGAATACTCCCAGAGTGTGGCAGGATATGTGACCTTTTAGCGTACATAAGCATATTGGTGCAGTTTCATTAAGAATACCTTGTCATTGTTCTCTTTATTATGCATTCCTTGACTGCAGTTAAAGTTTACACAGTGTATGGAGAGTATATTGGTATATGTCAATTCACATCTCATGATGCATCGCAGTAATAAAGTAGCCATTATAGCCAGTCATACAAATAGCAGGTAAGAATGAATGAGTGGGAGGATCTACTATTCATATATTAAAGGATGGTGGTTGTCATGGCAACCAGAGTTGATATATGGGTCCCATGAGATGTATACAACGTGTGCTCTATGGTATGAATAATTCTATAAATTTATAGGAATACAACGTCATGTATTTTGAATAAAAGTTTATCTTTATTTCAATTATTTACATAATAATTGTATATTACATAGCAATATTTGTTTTTCAGCTGTTTTTTATACCCTACTGCGACACCCACCACTGAGGAGGAGGAAGACTTCCTAAGAGATGGAAAATATGAACATTTTGCTAAAATTGATGATACTATTTTTAAAGAAGTCAAGAAGCTTATGACAGGTGAGACCTTTTGACATTGTGTGTATAGCAGCAATGTGGATTGAGATATTAAAAGGAAACAAGTCATCTACTACCGGGGTAACTTGTATAAATACAAACATTTGACAAAACCACATTCACAGTTGTTTTGAAGGTAAAATTCTGGATACAATGTTGAATTTACATGACTGTCTAGAAGATGTATGGGTTATAAATACTAAAAAGTAACAGAAAAAATATTGCCATGTTTCTAATTATCATGCACATTAGTTAACATTTTGCAGCTTTTTTGAAAAAATTCCATGAAAATTGAAAAAAAGCACACAAAAAATGTGCATGTACATGTATTTTGATTTTTGTTCACTAGAAAGACATGCAATTCATTATGATGTTTTATTTTATATTTAATTCTATCTAACAAAATCATGTCATATTTCATTACAGCACATACAGCTGAATTACACATCGATACGCTTCTAACTGGATCACTCGCCATGGCACTGTGTTGTATCCTTTTCATGATGGTCATTTTCTTCAACTTTTTGTGAATCCAGGGGATGAAACACAATCCCTGTACTACATGTAGCTAAGATTTCTTCAATTCAAAATTTTAATTTATGCATCTTGATAAATTTGTATCACACTTATGAGAAGGTATGGAATTCATGTTTTCTGTGATTGGGTCAAGTTCTACAGCCAATGATCAGTGGGAACTTCACTGCACATTATTCTTAGTTGTAGCATCATTCTTATTCGTTATCCGCCTTTGAATTCCCTGCCAAATACCAATACCGGTAGTTAATAATGGTGATTAATGGTTCAGTGTGAATAATATGAGGTTATTACGAGAATACATCAATATATACTTTGAGGTATTCTCGTAATAACCTTATTATTATACCTCTTTTCCTTCCAAGGATACATTATGGGAATGCCAAAATCCAAAAAGTTTAGAACAGAATCAGCGAACTCAGCAGTCAAACCCTGATGGCAGCCATGTTTGTTTTTATTATTAGAGGACGCTTACGTGCGTAATCATTCCATATTTGGAATTCGCATTTCCTTATATAGTAGGATGAAAATACCCTGTAAAATACCACAAAATTACGGCACGCTGTAACTTATGGTGTTACGGTGACAGATGTATAATAATAATTTGATTGCCGTTGATGTTTCCAATGCAATTATCAGATATACATAGACTTGAAAAGGAATGCATTGGTGAGTAGAACTTTCTACCAGTTATTTATGTTTTATTACATTTGTGTGCTTTAGTGACTGGTCAGTGAGAACCAATCATTTAAAAACAAAGTAATGGTGTAGTTTACTACTGTTATTAAATATACATGTATGTTCTTGGTAATAAAACAACTTATTGGCAATGTTGTCACAGATCAATCACGAGCAAGTGTTAATAAGTTTGTGAAAAGTCTCAACCTTTAGTGTCCATCACAACAGTGCAAGATGAGTTTGAAATAGAGTTGTATTTATAGTAAAGCGTTAATTACCCATGCATTAGCATATGGGCATACTACTGTTAACTACTTTATTTTGACAGGAATTAAATTTCGCTAAAAAGACCTTTTGGTTGTTTTGTATGAAGTTTATTTTCTCTATTTTGGTATAAGTAATGTAAGGTATTTTCACTGATTTAAAAGTGAAACTAGCGATAATAAATTCCAAGTGAATATAAGTGCTTTACTGGTATCAGCAATTACATAAAACTACATGTCAAGTATTTATTTTACTTTTCTTTTTCTTCAGCTGGTGAAAAATTGAAACCAAGAATTCTGGTGAGTGAATTCAATCCTACAAAAATATCTGAATCTTTCGAATAACTAGTGATGTCATCTTTGTTTTCATTGGCTGAATACCATATTGTAATGATTAGTGATATCTATTTATAAACACAGGTAATCAAGGCATCAGATGACAGTGCCTCTCAGTACATGGACTTCATGAATATTATATTTACAGCACAGAAACAGGTATAATAGCATTCACACTTTGCAAATATGTGAGGTATATTTCATAAAATGTTGATTGTTAATGAGTAATTAGAACTTGGCTGCAGAATATGAAATTTAAATTAATTTAGATTTGTTAACGATACTGAGTTGTTTATCTTTGGAGATCAGTTATAATGTAGGTGTATATATATATATATATATAAGGGATAAGAACCTCCAGTACTCTCAAAAGGAAATGTGTGAGCAGGATATCTGCTTTTAATATTTCCTTTTTTTTGGCAAAACAACATATTTTTTACACATTAAAAGTGGCAGCTTTGAAGATTAGAAACCATCATTTATGTTTCAATTTCATTTCATATTGTCATACACACATATATTAATTTCAGAATATCTTAATTGATGCCTGTGTATTAGACAAAGATTCAGGTCTGCTTCAACAGGTGAGAAAATTAAGCAATAACCGTTCACAATTGACAACGTATATTGATGAGCCACAGAGGAGTACATATACAATGTATGAAGTGAAATGTCCAATGTCGAGGGGTTTACCAAACTTTTTGGTGGGGTATTGCGTAGTGATGTATGAGCAATCTTTTCAACCATATTCAGCAAAATTTTTGCGGATTCGCCTTTGATTAGATGCCAAAATAATAATTACCACTGCATTCTGTTTCTAAAACAATTTTGAATTCCTTCAAATTATAAATAGTTGAATTTGATCAACTCAAACTAAGGTTTTTGTTGCAGCAGTACATTCTCATTTTTTTCTGGGCAATATATACAATATTATGTCAAATATACGAGTTGGGGATCCATAAAAAATACTTCAACCTCCATATAAAGACCACCTGCCCACAAAGACCGTTTTAATGAAGTTGCTTGAGTAGTCGCTATACACAGGTTTGACTAGCATTTTACCACCACAAATTCAAACACGCCAGAAAAAATTACCGATGACCAACAAGTTTTGTTGGATAATTAAGAATACACTTTGTATACAAATCTAATAATCTAGAATCAATGTACTTTTAATGAAATCAAATACATAACTATAATCCATACTATCCAGGTCAAATGATGCAGTCAACAAATTGGATGTGAACCTCATCATCACATACTAGTTGTTCTGAACCAATCATCTTATTCCATTTCAGGCATGTGACATTACCGGTGGTATTTATCTTAAAATTCCTCAAAGGACAGGACTTTTACAATATTTGTTGGTAAGTTCAGAAAATAGTAAAAACTGATAATATCAAATAAGTGGTTGATGTACTCTTTTTGAATGCCATCATTTTGACATAATTCAATATATATGTTCAGTTCATGTTGAGGCAGAGCCTGAAAAGAGCATAGTTATAATTTATTCAGAGTCTATTCATTCTTATTTGCATTATAAACGTTTTCTCAAAAATAATTGATCACATATTGATCAAACATGGCTTGTTGGTGGAGAATAATGTTTTTAAATGGCTTTTCAATCTTTTTGTGGGTCATGATATACAGCATTAATAACTTCTCCCAAAATCCTCTATTAAAAGCCAATACCCATTGCCACTCTCACTGATACTTTGTTTCACATTGTTACCATGTC